GTTACACAAAACTATCAGTACAGAGTGGCTAGGAGAAATGATTATGACATTCATTAACTGAAGATTTTAGATCAGATTCACAGCTGTCCCCCTCCTTCTCATCATTCCCAAAACACTATTGTAACAGCATGTTATAATGAATGACAATACAATTCATAAGGATGTTTATAGGGCTGAATCCAGAGGCACATGAACAGACCTCTGCTTTCTCATCAGGCCTTTCCTGATCCCACCTCCACACTGCAGCCCCCTCTTCCCCCCCAAACAAGTCCAAGGATCAAGAGACTGACTGGAAGGACATGCAGCAGACACCTGTGAGAGCAGGGACTTTACAGAATTTAGGAAGGCTGCCTTGTACAAGTGCATGGAAGTGAGTTTCTATTGATGGAAGGCTCCTTTGAATCACAGCCAACCTATACACCTTGCTTTCTGATTCCTGCTTCTTTTTGTCTCAGAAATTTGCATTATTTCTGAACTTTATGTCCTTTTAGAATATAACTCTTTAATTCAAATGAAGCTTTTCTTTCCCCAGCAGCAGATTAAGTATTTAATCCAAAAGTAAAACTAGAAAGTCATTGCAAATAAGTTACGCAGGATTGCATTATCTCATTTTATCTCAGGACTGAGTATTTTAAAAGGGCTTGGAAAACATGGGAAGCACACACAGATGTGTGTCCTTAGTTGTTGTTTGTGTGTAGCATCCAGACTCTTCTGAGGTATTGACCTTTCTTAACACAGCTTCAGGGCAACCTAAGTGCCTTTAGGGTTCATTGATGGTATCTTGCAATGATCAAATTATCCTGCAAGATTTGGAGATGAAAGAGCCAATTTCTTGTGTGCACTGAGAACAGTTGTAGTGGTATACATGCACAACACATATGTATCATTTTCTTGTGAGTATGCATTCTTTTGGATAAATGCTATATGCCAAACAAAAGACCCCCACTGGCATCTCCCCCTTTAAAGTACTTCTCAAAAGCATTAGCCTGCCACTGCTGTAGGAAAGGGAGAGAGGGAGGGGACACTGAGATAGTAATTTGAACTTAAATGCCTGCTAGGCCAGGCCTATCTTTTTAGACCAACTCAGTGTTGGAGAAACCAGGTCTCTTGCCAAGTGTGGGGGGGAAATCCGCTCAGTAAAAATGCCTGTTTTCTTCTTTACTACTTGCCCTGATAGAGAAAAGTCAGCCAGTTGGAGAGAAGTGGTATCTAAAAGGTATCCAAGGGGCTGCCCCTAGTCAAGGTGCACTGAACTTAGGTGATTGACTGAAAACTGCCTTACAACTGCCAACTGCCTCAACAGGAATAAGTCAACAGTTTTGCTAACACCCTGAGAAGGAAGGCCCCCAAGTAAAGCTTGTAGCTGGGCCTCCCTGCTGCACTGAGAAGCACGGAGCAAATGAGTCAGATCAGGGAAGTTCCTAAGCCATGTTTAAGGCAACAGCTGCAAAGCATCACCAATGTGGGCCAAAACCTACCCTTTATTTGATGGAGTGCACCTTGTATTGTACAATAGTGTTTGGATGCTAATACAACATTCTATTTAATGCTTAATACAATATTTTAACCCAATTTTGTTATGGAATGCTAAAGACTGATATTAGTTAATTTTTAGAGAAATGACAGTTCCCTGAATATTCTTTCTTTGGCTTTAACTTCAAAATATGGCAGGGATTTAGAATTCAGGAACAGCGTATCATAGTAGCTAATGAAAGTGAGAATCACTCTGTCACATAACTGAGATTTGAAAAGCAACTAATTTCTCTGTATGCCTACCAAGAGGAAAATCTCACTGAGTTCAGTTACATGTACTACCAAGGAAGTATTCATAGAACTGCAGTCTGAATACAAGTGGATGGTGATGATTATGAAATATTCAAACACCCTTCCCCTGGAATAAAACCTAACATTAGAAATAAAATAGGTACCTTTTAGGGGAAAGGAAGTGGGAAAACTGTGTATCGGATTTCTTCTTCTTGGTACAATCTGGGATAATCATCATTGCCTGACTCCAGTGATCCACAGTGTTGTAACATATATGCAAAGCATATTAATGAGTATAGTCTAGAAAATGACAGGCAGATTTAATTGTAGTAGGATAAATTGCCTGACTAGGTGACAGTACATTTTTCTTCAACCATGGCCAAAGTTTTCTTCCAGTTCTCTGCCTTTTATTTTCAGCCTTTCAAAAATTTCTACTGTTGAAGTAAATATAAGAGCAAAAGAATTTTGGTGTCAAATGGATGTGACAGAGTACAGCAAATCAGAACAGCTTCCAAGGTTCCCATCTATCTATTAGGCAGCTGGTTTTATCATGTTTTGCACAAAAGTACTGGAACAGACCAAAATTCACTTACGCCTGCCACCTTCATCCATCTTTCTTGCTCTTGCTCTACTTGATTCTGAAAAACTGCTATGAAAGATAGAAGCTTGTTGACCCAAACTAGAGGTCACTTTGTACAAAGGTGAACTGCGCATGCATGCTGTTGAGATTCAAAGTGAGAGCAGATTCATCAGTGGTGCACTGCATGGTCACCACCACGGGATTACAGCATCAAGTGGAAAACAACATGTCTGAATGAGTTATGACACCTCAAACCCTGCAAGCAATACCTTTTATATGACCTCCACAATGGTGCTTCTTATCATAGTCAAACAAGGTACTGAGCTGTGACTGTATGCATCTAGGAGCTTATAAAACTGATGAATGCATGTGATAAAGCCAGGAGGGGTCCTTGTCCTAGGAAAGACAGCAGGACTTTTCCCCCTCCCCCAAGCAAGAAAAAAATAAAATGTGCAATTAATGACTTAATTGCATTAAATTAATCAAAGATTACTGTGTGACCTAGGCCAAACCACTGAGGAATTAATCCCAGTGTCCTTTAAAATGTTGCAGTCCCACTGCTTTTCTCATGTCTGACCTTTTTATTCTGGCTTTTCAGGGCATGGGGGCACGCAGACCTCATACTTTCTGTATTCTTTCACAAGGATATCAACTGAAGCTATGGGAATTCTCTCACATCCTGTTATATTGCATGTGTCTTAGAAATTTAATGCAAAAGTTGGGTAATATAAAATCTAAAATAACGATGCACTGAAATATTTACACTCAATTTTCCATCCAGGGGTATCAAACATTTTTGAAAATATATTTTCAAAAGCCTAGCTCTATGGTAAGGTCACAACATTTTAAGATAACTTTGCTGATAGGCTGCTAAGCAAGCAGTAGTGCCTATGGCATTCCTGGTTTATAGGAGCACCTACTGAGTTTTTCTTTTATATGCGATACAGTGGACTTCAAAGCTGCCCCCTTCCATTCACTCACAAACAATATTGTTCCATCACTCAAATAAAATCAGATATGGAAAGGGTGTGCTAACTGGTACATCACTTCATGTGCTCATAGTTTTATACATAGGCAGGAACAAGAGAAAATATTTGTTGTCTGTAGGAGGCAGGAAATCCACCCCATTCCCAACAGACATGAAGAATTACTGTGTTACACCAGAACACTACCTGGGAAATCATTGGTGAAAGAAATGTAAACGATGGATATTGTGCAAAAAGCCCAACTTCATGATCACACTGATGTGAGGGCTTCTGCCCTGAAAAGTTGCCTAGAAATGCAATAAATAAGTAAGTAAATAGAGGTGGCAGACCAAGAAAGGGATCTTCAAATTGTTGTTAAAAGCTCAATAGAACTGTCAACCCCCCGTTATGGCTGCTGTAAAAAAAGGCAAATTCCATATAGGCATAATTAGAAATTAAAAATAAAATTGTCAGTGTCATACCACCTTATTATAAATATCCTGGAACACTGTGCAATTTTTATATAAAGTTTTTCTTGAATATTGTAACTCTGCAAAGTTGCATCAGTAGTAACCCTGTATCAGTACTAACCCTGTATTGCAGACATGGGGGTAAGGCAGGGAAAGGGAGAGAGGATAGTCAAAGGTCAACCTGGTGAGTTAATGGTGGTGGTGGGCTGTGAACAAAGGCACTGCATTGTTTTTGTGCAGATAACCTAGAGCTGCCTTGCTTAGCCTGGTGTCCTCTGGAGCTGCTGGACTCCCTTTACCTGCAGCCAGCTTTGGCTGGGAATGGCAGAAATTGTAATTCTGGTGGGCACCAGGTTGAGGAAGGCTAAGATTATTCCTCTTTTATTACCCTGGCACTACACCTCCCAATGCCAGAAGTTAAAATTACAACTTCTTGGGCCAAATGCCAGGAGATGTGTAGGGGCATTATCTTATAAGCTGCCATTCATATTGATGACACAGTACCAGAGGTGAATGTTTATGTATCCAAAATGGCACCATTCACAAAAAAGATGGAGGCGTCCGCAGACTTGAGGAAATTCTAAGGTTCAAAAAAAAAAAAAATGGAGAAAAAACCTCTTGTCCCGCTGCTCCCACAAAAGTGCAATTCTTCTAGTTTTAAGCTTTACATTTTTAATATCCTATTTTATTATATAATGGTATCTTTATACTTAAATATTGCATTCTAACTGCTCAAAAACCTTTGACTACTGGGTAGTATAGAAATCAAATAAATAAACAAACAGGGGCTCACCATGCTCAGTGGCCACACAACACTGACTGGATGTTTGGGATGGGGAGCTTTAGAAAAAGCCTGTCAGAGAGGAAATACAATGGAATATCCTTCAGGAGAGCATGGCTGGCTGACTAGAACACTGAAGAGAAACACGCCACACCGGAACAGTTCGGCTGAGCTCCCACAGGTGAATACCGATTATGAAATACTTTGCATGTGATTCATGAGGGAAGTGTTGCAAATGCGATTAAGTCTTATGCACGTTCCGGTTGATGTAGAATATTAGTTTCCTGCTTGAGGCCTTTCTAATAGACACATGGATCTTTCTAAGCAGGCTGACAAGGTTACAATTCACCAAGCTTGCTAGGGAGACAAGGTAATGCTTTGAGCTTTTTTTATGTAAATGTGCCACCTCTTCCATTTTCAGTTCTTCATTTGTTAAACAGGTGTACTGGTGATCCACTTCACGTTATTGCTACATCATGGACAGAGTTAAAGAAAGTCTTCAAAGCAACGTGACCACCACGATTGCATTCCTGTGCACATTCATCTGGACGTAAGCTCAAATGAATTCAGCTGGACTCATTTCTTAAGAGCCATGCAAATGGACATATATCTGCCAATAAGACCCACTGGACAATGTGGGACTGGCATACATGGAACTGCACTATGCATTATTAATCACAACACTTCTGTAGACATATGGAATTGTATATGTTCATTCATCCAAATTCTGTTTTTACATGACAAAAACAGCTTGTTTTGTAGGGTGCTGAAACTGCACAAAGGAAGAAGACAAGCACTCACCTCCCAAGGAACAAACCAATAGTCAGGCACAGTCATTTTGCTTTTTAAATATCCTCAAGGTGAGAACCATGTTGTATTCATCAGGACTATAACTTTTCCTTCTTTTTTAGATAGTTACAAAAGCAAACCTCTAAGAAGAATGATTATAGTTCCTTTCTACAAATAGTGACTGGTGTAGAATTACCAAGTTCAGAGGTAGTTTTGTGATTGAAGGGAGTGGGCAATCATAGAATAATTTCAATTAATGTATGTAAGATGAAACAACCAAAGCAGTAGACTAAACAAAATACATACAGGATTGCTTGCCTCTTTGCAGGGAGCCATGGATTCTGCACTGGACAGAAAATGGAGGCTTCCACAAAATGTTGTTTCCAAGATCCTTGGACCTAGTATGATGCTAGGTTATCTTGTTTTTTTTACACACACACACACACACACACACACACACCCCCACACACACCCGGGGGGGGGGGGGGGAGAAAGCCAGCTTAAACAGGGTTCTTGGAAAAATGAGGGGAAATGCTCAAGTGATGAAGCTATATAATCAAAAACCTGAGCTTTGGTCACTGAATGCATTTTATTTTTACACAGTTACTAAGACTGTAATGCAACTACACTTTAGAAAACGTTAGGAATTCAGAGTAGGATAGTGGAGAAAAAAAATCAGGGAGGGAGGAAGTACAGCTTTCCTGTTTGGTATGTTTTATTTTTGTATGCCTTTTAGGCAGCTCATGCAAAATCAACACAAATACAGAGTTCAAACAATAAAATGAAACTTACAAAAGATCAAGAAACTGTAGCTCAGTAACATGTTGGGTTTATCCTATCTTTTCATGGTTCAGACAGAGAATCTTCAGGAAAATGTTTTGAACTTGTAAGGTTTGGGACATTGCTAGGAAGTTGGGCTTAACAAATGTAACTCATCAAAGAATTCAATGGACTTCTCTACACAAGGCAAAAAGAGCTCTTACTTTATGACACTCATGTGATTTTTAAAACAAATCACATGACATGCAAGCAGTAGAATACTGCAAAGAGGGATGTACTGAGGACAGTTTTTCTCCTCCCTCCATAAAACTAGATCTCAGGGCGATTCCATGATACTGCTTGGTGGGAGATTCAGCACTAGCAAAGGACTTCTTCACACAGTGCATGGATTCAATTCCACAAGATGGAGTAATGGCCACCAATCTGGATGGCTTTCAAGGTGCACTGGACAAATCTGTGGAAGGGAAGGCTATCAGTGGCCAAGTTTTGACAGCTGTGTGCTACCTCCTGCATCAGAGGCAGTATTCCTCTGTACATGAGTTGCTGGGGAACTCAGGCAGGAGGGGGCTGCTTGAGGGATTCCATGGGCAGCTGGTTTGCCAGTGTGTGAGCAGAATGCTGGACTGGGGGCCCCTGAGCTCAGTCTGATCAAGCATGGCCCTTCTGTTCTTACAGTGTCAAATGGATTTAAAACTCTTGTCCCTCCAAGCCGTCTTGCACCTTACCAGATAGCCATGTATAATATTTGAAATGATAATCACAGAAATGAGTTGTGCCTTCATAGTGCCCTGGAAGAGAACTATTGAAAAGTAATTGTGAGAACTATTTCAAGGACAAAGATCAAATGTGTGACAATGTGGACTGGGACTTAAGACATCTGGGTTCCAGACACCATTTGGCCATGAAGCCTACAGGGTAATTTTGGGTCACTCCTCAATTCTCAGCCTAACCTACCATGTTGTGAAGATAACACGGAGAGGAAGAGGATCCTGGGAGTTTCCACGCAAGAAGAAAAACAAGGTAGGATATCAATTTAATAATGATGAAACAAACAACAGTTCTGAAATAGTACAGGAAATGAAAATATTAAAATTACTATTCCCCTCACCACAAATAACTTAAAACCAAAGTGATGCATCTAATAAAGTGGGCTCCATTCCAGAAAAACTTATGTCTCAAGTAATCTACTCTTATTTTCAGAAGCCACATTGTTCTCTCTTGTTTTGCTTTTGACAGCTCCCATCTACTCCACTAGGAGGGTCCCTGATGCCCAAGGGGGTTGAGGAAATACTGGGGGTAATGGGGCAAAGTTACCTTCCACCATGTTTCCCAGGACTGAGGCCCCTGTTTCAATGTTCTGCTCAGGGCAGAATGTACTTCCAAGGGAAACTGCTCCGGTTGTTAATGGCAGAATATGAGAAAGAGCCTGCAGAGTTCAACCTGGGGGTCAGTCTGTGCCTATCTCTCAGGCGACATTTAGGTATGGACATGCTTTTGCTTACACAAGAAATGACTCACCCATAACTAAGTTTTTTTTTCTTGTAACCCCACATTAATGACAGGCAAGTGCCAGAGAGTGACTTCTTGCCAGAGTAACAGTTACAGATATAACACATGAGCTGTTTGTTCTAGGCTATAGCCATTCTTAATGTACTTTAGTCAAACATGGTAAAACTGCTTCTGAAATGTATTTATGCATTTGAGAGTCTAAAGATAAGTGCCCCCAAGGAAAGGCGTTCTTTGTAGAAACTGCCAATTCTGAGATGAAGGTTGTTAGGCAATCGTGCACAGCTGTTGCACCTCTGGGACGTGAGACATTGGCTGTTCCTTCTCTCTCACGGAATAAAACAAACCATGAACTTCTGACAAACGTTTATGTTGTTCAGACAAAAAGTGTCAGGGCCTTTAAAGCAAAATGAATGAAGGACCTCAGCTGATCTCGAGAGAGAGAATAACAGTCCTATTGAATAAGACCCTGCGTGCACAACCATTTAGAAGTTCTCAGCGATGCACACAGTTGGAAGAGCGTGCTAATGGCAAAGCAATCCAAATTCTACTACAGCAACACTGTGAGACCCATATATTATAAGAACATATTATAATATGTACTTTTTATATTCCACTAGCCATAAAGAAAGAACTAAAACTGTAACCTGTATTGGATGAAAAGTCTATTCAATTCCTTGAAACGGAGTGTGGTTTTACAAGGCATTATTTTCATGCCTTAGACCTATTTCTGCAACCTTGACAGGCCTGAAAAACTTGCTCCAGGAGCTGAAATTTTCATGATGCTAAACTTTGCACACAATACTAAATTCTGCACTTACACAGTGTTGGTTGCAGAACACACCAATGGCTTAATGTACCAATTTCAAAACACCTGAAGACACCACATGTATCCTCTAATCCTAAGCTTTCCATCCTTGATCACATGGGTATTTCCCCTGCTACTTCCTTCTGCTACTGCATTTATTTTGTAGGGAACTTGCCAGTGCATTTGAAGCTGCACTTCCTCAGAACACTGTTTTCAGGTTTTACTGCTTTGAGCATTAAGATACTTTAAGACAATTTCACTAAGGAAGGGGAGAGGGAAAGAAGAGCAGAAAAAGTTTCCATAGGCAAGTCAGGATGAAACAATGTAATAATGCAATTTGTAGTTTTAAGGTGGCAGTCCAATAGCCAACTTTCCTAGGACTATGTCCCACTGAACTCAGTGCAAACTATTTCAGAGTAGACATACACTGGATAGTACTCTAAGTTACTCTTTAACTGCCTCTTCCAGTTCAACAGACAATACATGGAACACGAATTGATTCAAATAAAATTACATATTTCACCTACTCAAATGTTTACATCTCATAAAAGTTACAAATGGTAAAGAAGTCATAAAGTCAAGTTCTCTGTATTGTTTTTACATTTCGAAATGTGTAGCAATTAGGACACATCTCAAAATAGTAAAAGTCCAAGAACTATTTTCATAAGGAACTTTTTTTCTACCAACAAAAATATGAGGATTTGCATTTGCAGTAAAGCATCTTGTAGTGTTTAAATATGTGCGTGAAAATATACACCTCTCATGCTTAACTGGACAAGAAGAGACTTTAAAATGTCAAATATAATCCAATTACCTTATTAAGCAAGGCATTTCTATTAAATTTTTCATGGTTTGGGGGTGCTATGTTTACAGGTACAATTGACTGAAAAGTCAACAATAAGTCATATATGTGTTGCGACCCTCAATGCTCCCCCACTAAGTGACCCAACCTAGATTGTTTGAGTTCTCCATTGCTGCTTGCCATTCTCTATGAAACACGGGTGGGCCTCCCAAACAAAAGCCATGGTAGAACTGGTCAGGAGGGGCATTTCTCCATAATGCTTCCCAAGTCAAAGAGCAAGCCATCGAATTACTGCAGAGTTCAACCTCCATTCACTTCATTGCAGCATATGCAGAAGACTGCTGACCACAGTATGGGGTTACTAAGGGAAATTAAAATTTATATTCATCAGTTACACACAAACATTGTTTTAAACTGCTTGCACCAGTTTACCAGTCAATTTTTTAAAACATTGTTAAAACCTTTTTTTCCAGTTCAAATTTACTTTCTTTTACCATTTTAAGTAGGGGAAGCACTACCATTATGAGCTGAAGAGCAGTGCCTTCCCTAGCCAAAATGGCATAGGAAAAATACAATGAAGAACATCTGCAACAAGTGGACTCCAGCTGGGTTCTTTGCTCACCTTTCCAGCTATTTCTGCAAAAATAGAGGTGTTGGACTTCTTTTAGCTCAAGTGCAAAATTCCATTCCAGAGAATTTCACAGACTACATGTCAGTGCCGGGTGAGTCAATTCTGGAAGGGTCAAAAATACCAAACATAATAGCATATTTTAGCTTAAGTCTGTTACTGTCAGTAACTCAGCCTTGAGAGAGAGAGCTCACCTTTTTAGAACAGGGAAAGGGCTCCACAAAAGGTGAAAAGCCATCAAATACTTGGTGGCCCCATGAGAAAGGGGAAGGGTGAGGGCTGGATTTGCCCCCTCAGTCTAAGGCTGTGAATCCCTATGTTCAAAAACAGCATGCATTGAAATCTAAAATCAGCACAGCCAACAGAAGAAACTTGCCTAAGTTTAGCTCCTATTAATTGCCTATTCATTTTGCAGCTCAATACTAAACACCATAGCATTAAAATATAAGCAAAGTGATTTGCTGTTTATTTAAATAAATACTAGTTATATAAGAAATTTTATACAGAAACAAGACTTCCAGATTACTATCCTAAATAGTCTACAGTTTAAAATTCCTTACTGTAAACCAATCTATAAACAGAAAATTATTCAAATTAAGTTAATACAAGATACTTTAAATTTAGGAAACTAGTATAAATACCTCAGGGAGCACTGCTTCTAAAATGAATGTTCACCATATTCTTAATCTAAGAAGTTCTCCAGGCACCCAGTCCAAGGAAGGTGAAAGCAAGCAGAAGGGCCTTTTAAGTGGTGACCTGCTGCATTTATTGATGAGGTTTTAATCAGGTCTCCTTTTTATGTCCCTGCCTCTGTTCAAAAATTGTTTTTAGATATACTTGTGTGCGTGTGCGTTGTATATTTATGTTTTGCATTATATGGTTTTTATAATGTAAAGTCAAGTCTTTGTAAACCAACCAAAGAGGTTCAGCAATTTGGTGGAATAGAAATGTACTAAAATGAATGAATTCTTGCCAGATTTATCTACTCATTGGTAGAATCCACATCTCTGTTACAGAGGAGCAGTTATTATGATAGGGCTGGATCCAGAACTAAGTCTTCCTGAGAGTAGACTACTGAACACAATGAGATCGAAATCCACTGATTTCAGTAGGTCTTCTCAAAAGACCAAGGTACAACTTAACGACTTCTGACAGACATGCACCCAATGACAAATGGCTTAACTTTAAGATAACTCTACAGAAAGAGATTTTTATAAGCACCCTCCTCTCACCCACACACTCACACAAACACATTAGAAATGTTTGGGCATTTGGAAGTTGCTGAGTCCGCAAAAACAAATTCCTTTAAAATTATATATGACTGAATTTTGTCTCTAATAATAAAAGCTGCTTGGCTGGCTGTATGTCAGTATCATAGATTCCAAGCCCATGAAATCTAGACACTTGAAACTTAGAATACATATTCAGGAGATCCCAGGAATATGCACCTCCAGGTTACTTAGTTTGCTAAGTGGGTTCATTTTTATTGTTCTCTGTGTTCGAAATTAGCCGCAGCATCTTCAATCATCAGGTGGCAGCTGTCCACAGCCACCATGAGGCCATGACAAGGTGTACCAACAGGCCTGGTTATATCAGATGGGACTGGCACAATATGTCCAACTCTTAACACTCTGCAACTCTTGGTTTGGTGTATAAAACTATAGACTGTTCCAACTTGTTTGAAGCTGGAACCATTTTGTAGTTTTGGAAGAAAGAATTAAGA